ATGACTGGCCAAGCTCTCCTCCACGGAGTCTCTTTCTTCTGCCTGGGAATGGAATTGGGGTGGTGGTGTTATTGATTAAAACTTTTGCCACCCGGTGCTGCGGCTGAGGTGAAGCCGCCGGCACCCCCGCTGGCACCCCTGCCGGCACCCCCGCCCGTGGCAGCGGCACCTCCCCCTCCGCTCGGAGCACCTGAGCTGGGCACCGCATTACCCCTGCGCCCTCTTCCTCTGGTGTGCTTTTGAGGAGCCATGAGGCCGTGGGAGCCAGTAGGAAGGCGGTGGAGTGGGCGGGAGCAGGAAACAAAAGGCCCCATGGCTTCTCAAAAGCACAGTGGAGGAGGAGGAGGAGGCGGCAGGGGTAACGCGGTGCCCAGCTCAGGTGCTCCAAGCGGAGGGGGAGGCGGCGGCACCGCTGTCATGGGCAGGGGCACCAGCGGGAGCTTTGGTGGCTTCACCTCAGCCACAGCGCCAGGCGGCAAAATTTTTAATCAAGAACCGCCCCCCCCTCCAATCAATGGTGTCCCGCTTAACCAATTTTAAAATCTGGTCACTTTACCCATACTCTATATAATCCCCCCTCCCATTTTCCCACAGCCTTGAATATGGCAGGCTGGGAGGCCCAATACAAAAAATGATTTCCAGGCCTGACAGCCTACCTATTTAGCCTTTTACTATTACTGGCTTTCTTACTATCCAGTTTGGCTTCTGTAATATTTCCTCCTTTCATTTAAGCAAATAAAGAAAAATAACCCCATGAGTATGTAGGCAGTGGTGGTCGGGAGGGATCTGCAGGGAGCAAAACAGTATTTCTCTTCCATTTAGAATTTCAGATTAAAATAGTTGGAATGGGCTTTGAAAATCTGTCCCCATAATATTGTTGGGATATTGGTTCACCAAAATTTAATTGACACTTCTTTATCCTGAATTGAAGATTAGACTGTAGTTGCATTTATTTACCTTCTTGTATAAACCTGGAAAATTAGTTTAATTTTTGTTTTACCTAAACATTCAGTTTAAATGTTCTAAGCCTCTTAGGAGACATTAATTCTGTTGGAGTGAGAAGCACGAATTACTTAGGCAGGGACATTAGAAAATCTGTTTAATCAGATCTGTCTGCGGGAAATGCTCACTCATTGGTATTGATTTCCTTGCGGCGTCTTGGAGCTGATCAGTGCAGAGGTGCCCAACACAACGCAGATTCCTATTGATAAGCTAAGATGGATCTTTATTTTCTATCTCCCTCAAGATGTTAATTCATTTAGGAAAGGAAGAATGAAGTTTTCACATAAATTACTATTAAGTTCCCTGTCTGAATTAAATATTTAATTGAAAGAATTTACACAATATAGCAGCATTTGGTGCTATTGGGTATTTAAAAAAAAGTGTGGAAATCTTCCCAGGATTTTGCCATGTTTAATACCTTTTAGATGTGATGAATTACACTACCCATGATTCCCAGTCGGCATTGTTTTGCTCATTGGAGATTCTGAGAGTTGTATTTCAGCACATCTAAAGGATAGGATGTTAGGAGACATTTCACTTGAACCTCTGACCCCACTGGAGCTATCCCTTTGTAAAGTGAATACTTTGAACCTTGACACATAATACAATTCTCACTATGAAGTGAGTATCTATGGGCTGAGTTCAGTGGTGGGATTCAAAAAAAATTACTACTTGTTCTGTGGGTGGGCCATGACGGTGGGAGTGGCAGGGGAAGGATGCTGCAAAATCCCCATTCCCTCNGAATAGATAAAGCAAAATTGATTAACTATTTAATCCTTTAAAAGTGTTTCATTTTTCGTTATTTATTGAAAAAAATGGCATTAGGTAAGAGCCTGAAGTAACCTTTGCTCTATGTTGTTTGTGGAGTGCAAATAAAGTGCACCATCTAAAAGCTCCCTTAATATCTTTCATGCTACTAAGCTAGAATTTATAGCTGGGCAAAATCAGAAGTAAATCTGAAAACTGCCAAAAATGTAACCCAGCACATTTTAATCATTTCATTGTGTCAGTAGTAAAAATCATAATGTTGCAAGTGTAAATAACAATTTATAAAGTTTTGTTAAGTTATTGTAGTGTGGATTATATCACGTAGGCCCTTCAGCATGCTTTTAAAATTCTTGCAATATATTTTAATCAGCCTCTTCAAATTAATCACAAATCTTTGTTGATGGTTTGGACATTGCATACATTTCTCATTTGTAAAGTTTGAGCAAAAGTTTCAGATTCAGTCTGCAGTTCTATTCAGATTATAGGGGTGCTTGGTTTAGAGCTCAGTTAGGATTCTACTATTCATTTGCTGCAAAATGGAAAAGCTCCTGGTCCAAATGACTCTTCAATGGAATAGTATAATGGTGTTTGCAGGCCTGTTGGCTCCTATACGTTTGCAGGTGTATAATGAATATTTTAATGACAGTAAATTGTCATCATCATTTTATCAGGAACGAGATAGACTAGTGGAAAGACTTGAATTGTTAAAAACATCATTGAAATGTATTCTGAAATTTGCTTTCTAGGGTATGGAGATCACGGCATGTTATTATATTTAAGCATCATGTATATTAATATTTCCTTTAAAGTGAACAAAGTGAAATAGTTTTGATATCAAACCTCTATCTTGAAACTAGTAGAAATATGTCTCTGAGGACGTCTTGCTCTGTGCAGACTAATTAGGGTCCCATATGGTATGTATGATTATATAATCACTGTGGGAAACGTTTTCTAAATGGAAGGTATTGCTGCTAAGCCTGCCTTCCAGCTGCCTAGTCCCATGATGGCAAACCTATGGCACGCCTGCCATAGGTGGCACGTGGAGCAATTTCTGAGGACACGTGAGGCGTTGTCCTGTCAGCCCCAGCGCACATGCCCCCTTATTTTCAGCCTTGCCCCCCCCCCCCCCC